GACAGACAGACAGACAAGACCAACCGTGCTGATGAGTCCACGTGCCCGTGCTCTGTGAGGACGGGCTCGGCTCAGACAGCCGCAGGGGACAGCCCTGTTTGTCTCTGTTGATGGACACAGGTCAGGAAAACGGAGGTGTCCACTCAGTGCCATCAAGTCGGCTGTGACTCAGCAACCCCCGTAGGACGGAGTAGGACTGTCCCTGTGAGTTTCTGAAACTGCCTCTTCGCGGCAGTAGAAAAGCCTCTCCATGTCCCAGCAGCAGCAGGTGGTTTCAGTGAGCTGTAGGGAGGTGAAACCATTCAGCTCACTCACCGAGCTCACCTGAGAAGGGATGGGAGCAGGCTGGTCCGTGCAATTAGACACAGCCCCCTCCTCTCGTGCCCCAGAAACTCCCTGCTGGGCCTCCTCAAGGAGGCTTGGTGGCACAGCGTGGGGCTGCTCACCACGAGGTCGGCAGTACAAACCCACCACCAGCTTCATGGGAGAAGGATGAGGCTGTCTGCTCCCAGACAGATGTGCAGCCTTGGAAACCCTAAGGAGCAGTCCTGTAGGGGCCACTGGGAGTCAGAGTCGGCTCCAAGGCAGGGGCTCTGCGTCTGGGGCCCCCATCCTCTACCAGCTGCCCCGGGGGACCTGCAGTAACACATTGCCACCTCTTCAGCCCTGGTGTTAGAACCTGCCAGGATGGTTATCCCCAATGGTTATCCCCAGTCTGCTTCCCCTTCTGGGGTGCTCCTGGCCAAAGAGGATTCCGCAGAGTACACAGGCACGTTAGGGCTAGGCACTGTTCTGAGCACTGGCACCCATCCTGTCCTTTCCTCCTTTTGCTGATTCTCGGCTTACAAATAGGGACACGGACCCTTGGAGGAGGCGTAAGATAGACTCCTGGAGTTTGTACCGTTCTTAAGTGGATCTGGCAGGATTTGAACCCACAGACAGTGTCGAGGCTGGGGCTTGGGCATTCTGCTGGCAGGTTCCTGTGGGGCGTAGACCAGGCCCGGTGTCCTGAAGGAGGAGCTAGCTGGTCATGAGCTGAGAGATGGGGAACCCGGGGGCGGTTACTGTGATGAACCCTAAGGAGCATCCCCGGAGGTACACGGTCAACACGCTCAGCTGCCAGCCGAAAGATTATCTGTTCATGTCCATCCGGAGGTGCCTGGAAGGACAGCCTGAAGGTCGAGTCCCAGGGAAAACCAGCCGCTGCAGAGCCGATAGAGCCCGGTGTTGCTCTGACACGCAGAGTCACCCTGAGGTGAGGGGCCAGGCACTGCACGGTGTTGGCAACGTCCCTGGCCTCCACCTACCAGATGCTGGCAGCACCCGGCCTCCCATCTCCCAGTGACGCCCCTGCCACATGCCCTGGGGGGTGAGATCCCCCTCTGCGCTATTGGGTGAAGGACCAGAGAAGTGGCTGAGGGGCTCGGTCCAGGCAGGACTCGGCGCCTAGTCTTGGAGAGGTGCTCCCCGGAGCCCTGAAGGGATGGCATGGGGCAGGGGCCCAGCAGCCAGTTGGATGAGCTCTTCAAATTTGGATTTCCCCTGCCTGGAAGGAAACTCCTGAGGATGGTCAAGCCTTCCGCTCCTCCGGAAGCCTAGGCTTTGGGGATTGGACTGGGATGGTGTCAGAGCCAGAACGAATGGCTGGTGGCACTGAGCAGACAGGTGGTTATCTTGGGCTGAGGGAGGGCCGGCCATAAAACCCCGATCCCTGCCTAGCAACATGCCAGTCCTCAGCCCCGGGAACCTCTCTTCAGGTCGGCTCTGATTCCTTGAAAGATACGGTGTGTGGTCCACTGGTTATTTCCCCCTCAAATCAAACAAGGGAGGTGATTGTCACTAGTGAGACCGATTGTCCGCTCCGGGGCGAGGCTTCAGCGACAGGGTGAGGTCAGCGAGGGGCCCCAGCTGAGGGCTGTGCTGACACCAGGAGCTTTATCGGGAGCCGCAGTGCGGCACAGGAAGGGACTCGGATTTGCTGTGAACAACCAACAAGCAGTGGCAGTGTGGGATCGGGGACTGGCCAGACTTGGGTTGGAAGTTCAGGTCCACCCTGGCTCTAGGACCTTGCACACTCTGGGAGCGTCAGCTTTCCCACCTATAAGATGCAGGTGTGTAAACGAGGGGGGCAGAGTGGAGCTCTGAGTGAGGTTCCAGCTGGGCGGGCAGCAGGAAGTGGCTACTTGACAACTGGACATCCCCTTACAGAGGGGTCACAAGGAAGGGACAAGCCAGCCAGGGTGCAGTATAGCACTGATGAAACATACAACTTTCCTCTAGTTCTTTAATGCTTCCTCCCCCCTCATTAACAGGGAGGCATGACAGTAGATGTGTGCTCTGGGCGGATAAGATCGGAGCACATGGTAGGCGAGCTGGAAACTGCTGGGTTCTATGTGAGGGTTTGGATAAAGT